TAGCTTTGCTGAATATTAAAAATCTTAAAGAATTAGGTTACGATGTACAATAAAAAATAAGCTTTTACAATATTTGGAAATAATCCAGAAAATATTATACTTTTTAAATAATAGATAAGCTATGCTTTCTCCTAAATTCTTAAGTTAAGCATAATTTTATAAGGTAGGTTTGCTTTTCATATTAAATATCTGTGGTGGGCAAATAATGAACTCCAACAATGTTTGTGATACATTGTATGTTGCCTCATATGTCAAAAGAAATTTGCAGATGTGATTAAGGTTAAAGATTTCAAGAGGCGAAATTTATCTGAGTGGACTCAATCTAATCACATGATTATTAAAAGATGGAGGCAGAAGAGTGGATTGCAGTAATAAGCCATGAGAATAAGATCTTTGAGCCAAGAAATGTGGCAGTCTCTAAAAGCTAGAGATGGCCTTCAACTAACAGCCAACAGGAGAACTGAGATCTCAGCCCTACAATTGCAAGGAGCTGAATTCTGCCACCCTGAATGAGCAAAAAAACACAAATTTCTCCCAAGAATCTCCAGAAATGATTACAGCCTTCCAGTACCTTGATTTTAGCCTAAGAAGACCTGTATCAAATTTTTTACCTACAAAACTGCAAGATAATAAATTTATATTGCTTTAAGCAATGAAGTTTATCAGACTGTGTTATGGCAGCAGTGGAAAAGTAATATAATACCTTTTACACTTATTTGAATAATGTAAAATACTATTTAATTGTTTCATTGACTCCATTCTTTGTATGTATGCCTTCCTATAATTTATCAAATGCATTTTATAATTAGGAAACATTTAAATACACATACACATACCTCTTTTATCTTTATCTTATAAATCTTTCTAAATGATGTTTTAAAATCATTGGGTGGCAGGAGTAACTTGCTGTGATCATTCTACCAAGAGCTTTCTTGTAAGACAGAAGTGACTCACCTGTAAATATTTCAGATTAATCCTAATAGTGATGGCAGTGGGAGCCCATCTAGACAGGCCGCTGCCATGACATTGGCTGCAAAGGAGTAGGCATGTCCAGCGCTGCATGTTGCAGGGAGCCAGTGGGAGCCAGGAGCCAGCAGGAGCCCTGCCCTCTGGGGTGCAGCTGCAGCTACCGACTTGGGCATCTCTGTATTCTTGGGGCCTGGGAAGTGTCCTTTTCTTTCACACAGGCTTGGTGGTGTCTGCTCCTGCTGCCTTCTCTCTCCCTGCCTCCAGCACCTGCTCTGATCTTGGAGTGAAGTTTGGACCAAGCACAGGCACTATCATAGCCTGGCCAGGTGTGCACATGCTCAGTGCAGCATTAATATGCTTGTCCAGGTGGCAATGATAATTCCCACTTTAATGGAATTGTTGTTGTGTCTCCTCGTTGCAACATTCCTCCCTGTGGAACTAAGACCTCTAAAATCCCTGTCACAACAGGAAGAAAAAATTTGTTAGTGGGTCACTAGGGGTGATGGTGACTGGTGCCATTTCCACTTCTGCCCCTTGATTCCTGGCCCCATGAATTCTGGCCGCGGGAGAATTAGTACTATATGTTGAACACTGATTCAGAGCATACATGTCCTTCTGGAGAACTCTGCCCTAGACCTGCAAAGTACTGTCACTTAGTTGGCATTGTAATTGTGATTTCAAAGGCCACTCCACAGTTCTATTAATCCAGCTACTTCAGGATAATGGGGAACATGGTAATACCAGTAAATTCCATAAGAATGAGCCCACTGCTAGACTTCTTTATCCTTAAAGTGAGTGCCTTGCTCAGAGGCAATACTGTGTAGAATACCCTGATGGTGGATAATGCATTTCATGAGTCCAAGGATGGTAGTCTTGGCAGAAGCTTTGTGTGCAGAATAGGCAAGCCTGTATCAAGAGTAAGCGTGTGTTCCATTGGGAGAAACCTCTGCTTTTTCCATGATGAAAGAGGTCCAATGTAACCAACCTGCCACCAGGTAGCTGACTGATCACCCCTAGGAATGGTGCTATGTTAAGGGCTTAGTGTTGGTCTCTGCTGCTGGCAAATTGGGCCCTCAGCTGTGGTTGTTGCCTGGTCAGCCTTAGTGAGTGGAAGTCCATGTCATTGAGCCCATGCATAACCTCCTTCTCTGCCACCATGGCCACTTTGTTCATGGGCCCAATGAGAGATGATGTGGGTGGCTGGGGAAGGAGGCTGAGTGGTTTCCACAGAATGGGTCATCCTATCTACTTGATTATTAAAATCTTCCTCTGCTGAGGACACCCATTGGTGAGCACTCACATGGCAAACAAATATCTTCACAGTTTTTGACCATTCAGAAAGCTTCATCCACATACTTCTTTCTCACATTTATTTGTCACCAGTTTTCCCATCATACTTCTTTCAAGACCCTGGCCATCCAGCCAAACCATGGGCTATGGCCCATGAATCAGTATATGACCACACATCTGGCCATTTCTCCTTCCATGCAAAGTTCATAGTCAGGTGCCCTGCTTGAAGTTCTGCCCACTGGGAAGATTTCTTTCAACAACTGTCCTTCAGAATGTACTAGAGGGGCTGTAGTGCTGTCCATTTTCAAGAGGTTTCTGCATAGCATGCAGAACCATCTGTGAAACAGGCCCTAGTCTTGCCTTCATCTGTCAACTGACTGTAGAAAAGTACCCATGAAGCCATCAGTGGAGGCTGGGGGAGAAAAGGCAGGGTGGCAGGAGTGGAGACCATGAACATTTGAGCCACTTCCTCATGTCACTTACTTGTGTTTTCAGGACCTGCTTGAGCTTGACTACGTACATAATCACTTCTATTTGATGATGGAATGCTGCTGTGCATGACCCACTTTATGGCTAGAGGGGTCAGAAAGCACCCAGTTCATGAGAAGCCATTCAGGTCACATGGTGACTTGATGACCCACAGTTAAATGTTCAGTTTCCACAAAAGCTCAGTAACAGGCCAAGAGCTGTATTAAAGGATAATAGTGGTCTGCAGAAAATGGCAGGGCCTTGCTCCAAAATTTTAGAGGTCTCCGCTATGATTCACCTATCGGGGACTGCCAAAGGCTCCAAATGGCATTCCTGTCTCCCACTGACAATTCATACACCATTGGATCTGCTGGGTCATATAGCCTAAGTAGCAGAGCAGCTTGCATAGCAGCCTGGACCTGCGGCAGAGTCTTCTTCTGTCCTGGACCCCACTCAAAACTGGAAGTCTTTTGGGTCACTCAGTAGATGGCCCTGAATAATACAACCTAATGAAGAATGTGTTGCCTTCAAAATGCAAATAGGCCCACTAGACGTTGTGCCTCTTTCTTGGTTGTAGGAGGGGCTAAATGTACCAACTTATCCTTCACCTTAGGAGGAATATCTCGACAGGCTCCGCACCACTGGACCCCTAGAAATTTTACTGAGGTAGAAGGTCCCTGAATTTAGTGAGATTTATTTCCCATACTCTGGTATGCAAATGTCTAACCAACAAATCTAAATGTTTACTACTTCTTGCTCACCGGATCCAGTCAGCATAATGTCATCAATGTAACGGATCCATGTCATATCTTGCAGAAGTGAACAGCAATCAAATTCTTTCTAAATAAGCTTATGACACAAAGCTGGATAGTTGATACACCCTGAGGTAAGACAGTAAAGGTATATTGCTGGCCTTGCCAGCTGAAGGCATATTGCTTCTGGTGGGCCTCTTGGACAGAAATGGAGAAAACAACATTTACGAAGGCAGTGGCTGCAGACCAGGTATGAGGAAATGTGTTAATTTGCTCAAGCAATGAAACCACATCTGATATAGAAGCTGCAATTGGAATCACCACTTGGTTAAGCTCATGATAATACCCTGTCACTCTACAAGATCTATCCGTCTTTTGCACAGCCCAAATGAGAATTGTACAAGGATGTGGTGGAAGTCACCACCCCTGTGTCTTTCAAGTCCTTGATGGTGACACTAATCTCTGCAACACCTCCAGGAATGCAATAATGTTTTTAATTTACTATTTTTCTTGGTAGAGGCAGCTGTAATGGCTTTCATTTTGCCTTTTCCACCATAATAGCCCTTACCCTACCAGTCAGGAAGCCAATGTGTATGTTCTGCCAGCGGTTAAGTATGTCTATGCCAATTATGTATTCTAGAACGGGGGAAATGACCACAGGAATAGTCGAGGGACCCACTGGAATGACTGAAAGTCAGAACTGAGATATAAGTTTATTAATTATTTGACCTCCATAAGCCCCTACTTTAACTGGAGGACCACAATGACATTTTAGGTCCCCTGGAATCAACATCAGCTCAGAGTGAGTGCCCAGTAGTGCTTAAAATGTCTGATTATTTCCCTTTCTCCAATGTGCAGTTACTCTTGCAAAAGGCTGAAGATCTCCTTGGGGAAGGATGGAACAAAGATTCACTGTATAAATTGTCAGTAATATAGTGGGGTCCTTCCTCAAGGAGATCCACCCTCCCTTTTATTCAAGGAGTTCTGCATCTATAAACTGGTTCAAGTCTGGAAATTAATTGTGGGGCTGTAATTCCCAGTTTTTAATTCAAATAAGTCTTTTGTCCATTCCACCTAGAAGGTTTCTGCTTGGATAAATTAAGACGGAATGTAGTAGTCTTTCTATCAATTTCACTTCTTGGAAAATCATGATTAATTAGTCAATGCCAGAGGTCTACATGAGTCAGACTATTCAGATTGCCACTTTGCCTCTGCTATCCATTACGGGAGTTATGCCTACCTTTCCATTGAAAGTTGAATGCCACCTCTTGGCCCCTGCCAGCTCGGGATCCAATTATTATCACTGTATTTAAATTTTGTAGTTGAGCGATTGTGGTTCCCACTGTTAAATATGATATACAGAGAAAGCAATTACAGAACTTTTTTAAAGATGCAGGTGCAACAGCATTTCCCGCCTACGGCAGATGACAAAAGTCCTTGGGAGTGCAGAGCGGTGGGACACTCGCCGCACCCGGGCAGGTAGGAGTGCGTGGTCCCGCCCTAGTACGGGAGAATTTAAAGCAACCTGGAGGTGGATGGTCTTAAGCATTTGCTGGAGAAAGGGGCGTCGGTCAACGCACCCCCGGATCCCTGCAAGCAGTCGCCTGTCCACTTGGCTGCAGGAGGCGGCCTTGCTTGCTTTCTTCTCTGGCAGCTGCAAACAGGTGCTGACCTCAACCAGCAGGATGTTTTAGGAGAAGCTCCACTACACAAGGCAGCAAAGGTTGGAAGCCTGGAGTGCCTTAACCTGCTTGTGGCCAGTGATGCCCAAATCAATTTATGTAATAAGAATGGGCAAACAGCTGAAGATCTCGCTTGGTCGTGTGGATTTCCAGAATGTGCCAAGTTTCTTACAACAATTAAATGTATGCAGACAAGAAAATCAAGTGAACACTCTGATAGGGATGACTGTGCTCCTGTGCTCAGACAGAAACGAAGTTTTGGAAGTGTAGAAAATATCAGTGGGAAAAGGAAGTGTTGATGTCACGTGGGTTATGAAGTCTGAAGAAACACCTTCATTTCATGCAGACGTATGAGCTCCAGCTTTTGGCTTACCATACGTGTTTAAACGCCTTCTGAGAAGGAGGAAATCCTTTCTTCCAAGTGAAGATCCATTTAAGAACACATGTATTTACATGCCTATAATATGCTGGTTGTGTATGCTTTGTCTTTTAAGTTATTAAAGGGATGTCTGAAAAATAAAAAAAAATTAAAAAAAAATTAAAAAAAAGATGCAGGTGCTACCTTCACAAATCTATTTCACAGGCATTGGTCAAGGGTATATCTTCTGGCCCCTCCCAGCTGGGATAATCAGCTTTACAATGACTAATCCACTCCACTATTCCAATCTCCCTAAACCTTTGGATCCCTTCCTCTACAATTAACCTAGAGAGATCAGGCATTTACATCTTGCTCACAGTGGGCCATTTTTTAATCCATATTTCAATTAACAAAGCAAAAAATCTAAAAACTGCTGAATGGCCTTAGTACAGTCTAGAATTGAACATGCTATTATATATCATACTTAAGAAATACTTGAAAAAAATTGACATGTCTACCTTAACTCGCTGAACAGATGTGAATGGTCCAGCCTTTTTGATATTTCTGTTTCTCATTTAAGTTCAGGAAGTCAGTATTCTGTATACTCAGTCTTACATAAGTTCGACTATTGAAACTGATTCTTTCTGAATCCAGGCATCTCTAAGTATATATTGAGAGAAGTTTTTCTTTTCGCCTCCAGATCAAGCATAAGTGAGAAACTATTGTCAAGGAGGAACAACTTCTCATAAACAAATTTATATTCATGCAGGCAAAAGTATGGGAATTATAAATGATTTTTAGCAATATATTATCCTAACAAAATATAACTCATATATTTCTAGTGTGCAACTCAAATATTTGTGTGACATTTACATTTTTAAATTATAAATTTGTTTTTTAAAGCATCATTTCAACAAGGCTATTGTATTACTCTTGAGAAGAAAGTTAGAGTCAATCACTATATGTACTGTTTTTCTCCTTTATGCATTTCTTATTTTAAATATGTTTACCTAATATATACAAGTGTATTAGTAACACATATTTGAAAGATTCTTTCCCTTGAATTCTAGATTTCTCTGTTATCAACTCAAGAAATGGGTTTTAACTTCCTTAAATGAATGTTTATATCTCCTGAATACAGTCACCTGAAGCCATGGAATAGAGCTAATGAACTGTTTAGTCAGTTCTTTGGAGATACTGTTTTTGTTTGTAAACTCCTTCAATGTCGGCAAACACCAAAATCACCTGTTTTGCAAAAGTATGTTTCTCAGAACAGTGCTGCAGGTGACATAGGGTTTACTTAATATTGGCTATTAATATCAGTTAGCTCATACATTTTCTTATAGTGCCAAGTTAAGTGTTGGTTATTCCATACCAACTGTGTGAGTTGCAAAATCCAGAGAGGTCTACAGGTCTGCATCCATTTCTGTGAGAGGACTCCAGTACCAAAAATGTCTTTTTTTGTTTGTTCTTTTTAATGAGACGGAATCCCACTCGTCATTCAGGCTGGAGTGCGGTGGCACGATCTTGGCTCAAATGGAGCCTCCCCTTCCCAGGCCCAAGTGATTATTCTGCCTCGGCCTCCCAAGCTAGGATTATAGCACAAGTCACCATGCCCCGCTAGTTTTTGTATTTTTAGTAGAGCTGAAGTTTCAGCCATGTTTCTCTGGCTGGTCTTGAACTCCTAGGCTCAAGGGATCCATCCACTTCAGTCTCCCAAAGTGCTAGGATTATAGGCATGAGCCACTGTATTCAGCCAACAATGTCTTCTATAAGACAAAACTAAATTATCAACAGATTACCTTACCAGCTTAAGGAAAATAATAGTCAGCATCAGGTTGCCACTTTACATCTAATATCTAAAATATTCATGACCAGTCCTATCATAAAGTGTACAAAGAAGACCATCATCAGAATAATATATTGTTCTCTGATGCAACTTATTTCTTTATTTTTTAAATTATACTTTAAGTTCTGGGGTACGTGTGCAAATCTTGCAGGATTTTTACATAGGTATACACATGCCATGGTGGTTTGCTGCCTCCATCCCACCAACACCTAGATTAGGTATTTCTCCTTATGTTATCCTCCCCATTATCCCCACCACCTGCTATCCCTCCCCAAGACCCCCACCCAACAAAGACCCCGGTGTGTGATATTCCCCTCCCCGTGTCCATGTGTTCTCATTGTTCAATACCCACTTATGAGTGAGAACATGCGGCATTTGGTTTTCTGTTCTTGTGTCAGTTTGCTGAGAATGATGGTTTCCAGACTCATACATGTACCTGAAAAGGACATGAAATCATCCTTTTTTTTTAGCTGCATAGTATTGCATGGTATACATGAGCCACATTTTCTTTATCCAGTCTATCATTGATGGGCATTTGGATTGGTTCCAAGTCTTTGCTATTGTAAACAGTCCCACATATGTGCATGCATCTTTATAATAGAATGATTTATAATCCTTTGGTTATATACCCAGTAATGAGATTGCTGGGTCAAATGATATTTCTACTTCTAGATCCTTGAGGAATTGCCATAGTGTCTTTCACAATAGTTAAACTAATTTACACTCCCACCAACAGTGCAAAAGTGTTCCTATTTCTCCACATCCTCTCCAGCATCTGTTGTCTCCAGATTTTTTAGTGATCACCATTCTAACTGGTGTGAGATGATATCTCAATGTGGTTTTGATTTGCATTTCTCTAATGACCAGTGATGATGAGCATTTTTTCATATGTTTGTTGGCCACATAAGTGTCTTCTTTTGAAAAGTGTCTATTATGTCTTTGTCCACTTTTTGATGGGATTGTTTGTTTTTTTTTTCTTGCAAATTTGTTTTAGTTCTTTGTATATTCTGGGTATTAGCCCTTTGACAGATGAGTAGATTGTAAAAGTTTTTTTTTTCCATTCTGTTGGTTTCTGGTTCACTCTAATGATACTTTCTTTTGCTATGCAGAAGCTCTTAAGTTTAGTTAGATCCTTTTTGTCTGTTTTTCCTTTTGTTGCCATTGCTTTTGGTATTTTAGTCATGAAGTCCTTGCCTATGCCTATGTCCTGAATGGTATTATCTAGGTTTTCTTCTAGGGTTTTTATGGTGTTAGGTATTATGTTGAAATCTTTAATCCATCTGAAATTAATTTTTGTATAAAGTGTAAGGAAGGGGCCCAGTTTTAGTCTTCTACACATGGCTAGCCAGTTTTCCCAACACCATTTATTAAACAGGGAATCCTTTCCCCATTGCTTGTTTTTGTCAGGTTTGTCAATGATTGTAGATATGTGACATTACTTCCAAGGCCTCTGTTCTGTTCCATTGGTCTATACCTCTGTTTTGGTAACAGTACCATGCTGTTTAGATTACTATAGCCTTGTAGTATAGTTTGAAGTCAGATCGCAAGATGCCTGCAGCTTAATTTTTTTTACTTAAGATTGTCTTGCTTGTGCATGCTTTTTTTTTTTTTTTTGGTTCCATATGAAGTTTAAGGTGTTTTTTTTTTTCCAGTTCTGTGAAGATGGTCAATGGTAGCTTGATGGGGATAGCATTGAAACTTTAAATTACTTTATCTTACTGGCTTATCTGGGAAGGAGTACTCTCACTTCCAGGAAGTCCACTAGGGGTCCGGCAGTTCTCTTCCACCTGGCAAGAACCAAGGCCTCCTGATTGCCCCAGTAGGGGAAAAGGGAGATGGAGGAAGCAGGCTAGCTCCAAGGTGCCATATATGAGGAGAACACTTTCATTTCCATTCCGTTGGCCAGAACCAGTCCCAAGGGCTTAACAAAACTGCCAGGGAAACTGGGAAATGGAGGATAGCCCATGGATGCTTGGTCAACTCTGCCTCTGAAACATGCTTTAGTGCTGTTAAGATTTTGTTTTGAACCTGTAAGTATATGGCTTATCCAATTTAAAAAGAGAGAAGAGAGAGTTATCTAATATATATATTAGATACTATGTTATATAGTTTATGTATGTAGCAGGTGGGATATATTAGTCACTTCTCCTCACCCAACTAAACAAAATGCAAAACTTAATAGATACTGTCAAAGAGATGTGTCATACCCACATGTTACTGAAAATAATAAAAAATTTTTTTCCAAAAAAAAAAAAAAAACTTTGGGCGGTATGGCCATTTTCATAATATTGATTCTTCCTACCCATGAGCATGGAGTGTTTTTTCATATGTTTGTGTCCTCTCTTATTTCCTTAAGCAGTGGCTTGTAGTTCTCCTTGAAGAGGTCCTTCATGTCCTTTGTTAGCTGTATTCCTAGGTATATTATTCTCTTTGTAGCAATTGTGAATGGGAGTTTGTTAATGATTTGAATCTCTGCTTGTCTGCTATTGATGTGTAGGAATGCTTGTGATTTCTGCACATTGATTTTGTATCCTGAGACTTTGCTGAAATTGCTTATCATCTTAATGAGATTTTGGGCTACAGTGATGGGGTCTTCTAAATACACAATCATGTTGTCTGCAAATAGAGACTATTTGACTTCCTCTTTTCCTAAATGAATACACTTTATTTCTTTTTCTTGCCTGATTGCTCTAGCTAGGACTTCCAATACTATGTTGAATAGGAATGGTGAGAGAGGGCACCCTTTTTTAGTGCCAGTTTTCAAAGGCAGTCCTTCCAGTTTTTGCCCATTCAGTATGATATTGGTTGTGGTTTTGTCGTAAATAGCTTTTATTATTTTGAGACACGTTCCATCAATACCTAGTTTATTGAGAGTTTTTAGCATAAAGGTCTGTTGAATTTTGTTGAAGGCCTTCTCAGTATCTATTGATATAATCTTATGGGTTTTGTCTTTGGTTCTATTATGTGTTGGATTACGTTTATAGATTTGTGTACGTTGAACCAGCAGAATATCTTTATTTCTGCCTTCATTTCATCATTTATCCAGTAGTCCTTCAGGACTACATGTTGTTCAGTTTCCATGTAGTTGTGGAGTTTTGAGTGAGTTTCTTAATGCTGAGTTCTAATTTGATTGCACTGTGGTCTGAGTCATGCAACTTACTTATATAAATTTTTATAAATCCCTATAATATTTAACTCTAAATAAATTTTAAATATACCTTGGATTTCATATGATATAGTAATGTATTTGTGGAGTCTCCACAAGTCTGGATCCCTAGGGTAGAGTCCTTGTACAGGTCTATACTTTAAG